CGCCACCGCTTTCGTGCAGTACCAGCCCCAGCAGCTGCAGCCCGACCGCATGCAGTGAGGGCCCTGCCCGCGCCTCCGCCACCTAGGACAATCTTTTACTGTGGAAGGATCCGACTAGGACAGCAGAAGCAACAAAAAAATAAAAAAAAAAACAATAAAAGAAACAAAACAAACGAAAAAAAGATCCCCCTCCGCCCCTTTATCCCCTTTACGTAGGTTCATATCAATACCTAAGCTATTTATAGTGTTAAGGGCGAATCCAAACCCTTGCAGCCTGACTGTGCTTTTGAAAATGAACTTCTGGTAAGTTTTTTTTGTTGTTATTGATGTTGGTTTTTTTTCCAATCTGGACAGATACTGTCTTGAAGATGTTCTAAAAATGACTGAAATGTTTCACAGGAAAACTACAGATTCTTGCACACATCGCGGTCTGCTTCCATCACCCGTGGTCTTTCCACCCCTACCCCGTCTTCCCTATCAGCCCTTCTTTCCTCATCAAACCTGCAATCCTCTTATTTACTGTTGAGGTACAGAGGTACTTGGAGAACATTGAAAAAAACAATCTTATTTTTTGGTTGTACAAAAACTTTGTAATACTCAGAGATGCCTTACAGAAAAAGAAAAAAAAGAAAAAGAAAAACTATTTTTTAATATTTATTGCGATTTTATTCGCATGAGCTGTGAATTGCAGACAGAAGAATAGTAGTAAGTATCTGCCTTGTTTAATTCTCATTTTACTAAATTATTGTACGTAGGTAAAAGTTCTTAAGTAATTGCTGAATCACTTCAACATGCAAAAGGGAATATTGGCTTGAAGGAGAGCAGAATATTCCTTTAGTCAACGCACTGTACTATTTTCTTATTGTAGTTGTTACTCTGTTAAGATTATCTCAAATTTAGGTATATTTTTAAATGCAAAAAAAAACCAACCAAGAATACCGAACATTTTGTCTACTTCGGTAGATCTTTTGTTACAATGCTGCAACCTATGGAGACATTTACAGTATTTATGTAAAAGAGATTTGAGGCTGTTGGTCAGCAAAGCTTGGGAGAATATCATGAGCGGAGCAAAAGGAAAAGAAAAAGGTGTTGTGTCATTGAACAAATGGGTAAGCGTAATGTTTTTATGCCTATGATCCAACAGCCAGCTGAAGGAAGAGAGGAGATGATGTAAGTTAAGTGCATTTCTACAAAGAACAGCAATAAACTATTTTAACTTTTAAATTGATTTGATACCGTATGGCACCATGTTTGCGTGGCCGAAGTCCATTCGGGAGTACTTCGAAACTGACCCAGCCTGGCGATGTTTGGACCTTCGTGCCGGGGTGGGTTGGTCCTGCAGCAGAGCCTGGCGGGAGCCCCTGCTCGGATCACAGGGGTGCCTCCGTCCCCCGCAGTGCGTCCCGTGTGCCCTTCGCTTGCTCTGCACCTCCCAAGGGTTTCTGAGCGCCTGGAGCATCACGGCAGAGCTGAGCCCAGCGCCAGGCACTTGTTCAGGCTCAGCCGATGCGGAGCAGGGAGGGTAAAGTGCTGCTGTCCTGGTGCAGCTCCAGTGGAAACCGGGACAGCTGAGATCAGATCTGGACCCTGAATCCTCAAGATATCACTTCTGTTATTTGCTTTTAGAATAAGGGTTTTTTTCTTCCAAAGCTTCATCCACCCAAAAGTGAGCGGTCTGCCAAAGCCTTGCCCCTGTTCAGGGCCAGGTTGCTGAGGGCCTCTGATCCCGAGGGGCCCGGGCGGCGGGGAGGCTCTCGGCTTGTTGCGTTAGCGAGGTGTCTGCGTTTGACTTCTCCCAACCAACTTGCTTTAGAAATTTCGTTTTCAGGTATTGACAATTGCAAACTTCAAGTATCGGTTTTTAAAAGTAAATAAAATTAATTCCATTTGATCACATCAGTTATCTAGTTCATCCCTGTAATGGTTAAGGCCGAAGGGCCGCAGTGTCTTTGGCACCAGTGTATGTTGCTGCTGAAGGTGACGATGCCAAAGCTGCCCTGGGGGAAGAGGGTGCTGTAGGATGGAAGCAGAGGCACTTCAGCACACTCTGATCAACTTCCCTGGTGAGCTTAATGGCACACAGTGGGCATGTCTAATGTCATCAGTAGGCTTCAGAGTAAACAGCCCATCTCAATGAATGGAAACAGGTCGTTCCTCCCTTGCTCATGTTGTGTGAGAATGCAGGTCCTGGTGGGCCTCTGTTCATCCTGTCTGGGGTTTTGCTTGCGGGTGGGTGACATTTATTTCCTTTTTAAGTAATTGCTTTCTGGATGTGGCTGTGGGGCTGCCAGAAAGTAAGAGCTGGGTGCTGGATCCAGCACGACATTGGCGGGGAGCGCAGCCTGGCCCGAGAAACCTGCCTTTGAAGTACTGTCAGGGCTGGAGGTTATTCAGCAATTCTTTCTGCCTGTCATGAGTCTTTCTGAGGAGGAGGGAGGGAAGGATTTTGGAGGCCTAAGGGGATGCTGGGAGCTCAGCCCCAGCCCACGACGTTGGGGTGCCCATCCTGGCGCAGTGCTGCCTGGCTCCGGCACTGCCCAGTGCTGGCTTTTGTCTTCATGGGGGACCCATATCTCCCCCCGTCAACAGAAAGAGCAAGGCCTCAGAAGATTTGCTGGAAAAAACCCACGTGCGTCCTGTGCATTTTGAAGTGAGAAGAGTGATGATTTTCCATTTAGCTGGCTCTTAATTTCCTGAAAGGTGGCCAAAACTGAGCAGCAGCACCCAGCCCGCCGCTGCCGAATGCCGTTCCTGGATCCCGCTCCCGTTTGCTCCGGGCTCACTTTGAGAGACACCCACATCAAAACAGGAGCACAACCTGCTGCCTTCCTGTTTGCGCAAACCCAGCTGTGAAATTGCGGCCGAGCAGAACAATGAAACTGCCGTCCTGCGTCCCGGCTGGCACTCGGGCTGCAGGGGCAGGTGACGGGGACAGGCTGCGGCCCCCTGAAAAGGAGCCCAAGGGCTTCGTTGACCCAGTGCTGGGCTGGAAAAGGGGATAGAGCCCAATGGGTCCCTGTGTCAGGGAGACAAGAGTCAAACACAGAACATAATGCGGGTGAGAGGCAGTGTCTGCGTGGTTCCTCAGTGGTGATGGTAGCACAGGATAAGTGCTTAAATCGCTTTGCAATTGCTTAAAAATGTAATTTTTTTTTTTTTCTTTGCATGCATTGCAAAGGCACCATGTGCCTTATGTTGTCCTGGCACAAAACAAGCTCACCCTGGGCAGCTCGGCACCGCGCTGGGCAGGCGGGAGCAGAGGGTGGGCACGAGCTGGGGAGTCACGGTGCTCTGGAAGAGGGTTCAGTGCAGGAACGTGCAGCCCCGGGAGCACAGGCAGGAGCCGCGAGGGCTGGATGGTTTTGGCAGGGCAGCCCTGGCAGCAGGTTCCAGGGATGGGAGCGGCCATGGGTGGACCAGACCTTGTTCCTGTGGCCGTGCTGGCTGCTGACCCGGTCCAGGCCACCTCCCAGCAGCTGTGCCCCCATGCCCAGTCATTTGCATGACAAATTTCTTTTTTTTTTTTAATTTTTCCGTAGGAAACCATCACACTGGGGTTGTCAGGGTGAGCCTTGGCTTGCGTGAGCTGGAGCACGTGCAGTCTCTGTGCTTTCATGGGGAAGTGTCACCATAAATGCCAGTGTCGAGATCCTGGTGATCACCCAACAAACCCGGTGTCACCTTCCTTCCCGCTGGGCAGCAGCGAGCAGAGAGACAGCCCCGGCCCCCCAGGCTGCCCGCAGGGTGTCGTGGCTCATGCCAGAGCCTCTCGGCCTGCCTGCTTTGGGAAGGGGATGGCTTGGGCGAGGCTCCTGT